ACATCTGCCCGTCCTGCAGTGAGGGCTGGGGGTGGAGGGTGGAAAAACGCTTCGGGTCCCCTCTGCAGGGCTGGAGGAGCCCAGCACCCTCCTGGGATTTTCACTTCCTGGTGGAGTTTGATTTGCTTTTGTCATTGGTGGGGAGAAGCAAAAAACCACACCTTCTCGGATAGCACTTCTCTTGGTGGTGTGCATGAAACCTCCAGTCATAGGACTTGCCTGGTAGAAGGAATTGCAGCTCTTCAGCAGTTCACTGGAGGTATGTGCCTTTCACTCTGGAATCCACCAGCTGTTCTTTTGCTTATAAAGAAGATTAAGTTCATTTTCCCCCAGCTGCAGAAAGCTTGTATCCCTTTGGAGAAACTGCTTCTGGGGTGTTTTGGTCCCCGTAGCAAGATGCCTGTGGCTTAAATTATTTGGAACAACTTTTTGGCCAAAAGGAAGGTGCATAGAGTTAATTTAACGAGGTATTTAATTTGCTAATGGCTGTATTTTGTTCTCTGAGGGCAGGACTGCTTTTTTTCTTTTGTGATGCTCTGGTATGTGAAAGAGAGTGAATATAAAAGCAGCACTTTCGCTGTCTTGTACTGCAATAATACTCTCCTCCATTTGACCCTTGAATATGTTTTTGAAGGGTTGCTAAGTGCATTGGCTGATGTGGTCTGCTTTGCTCAGGAAGTGGCTTTGAGCCGGCAGGTGCCGGCCCTCGGAGAGCTGCTGAGCAGCCGTTAGGACCAGCCTTGCTCGGTTGCCGTTCTGGTGCCACCCCATAACTCCATCTCCGTGTGACCCTGGTGGAGGACACTGCAGCGTGGCTCTGCGCCTCCTGAGCCCTCTCCCCCCAAACCTGAGTACTGAGTATCTGCCTTGTGCTGGAGAACGACTAGCTACCTGGGACTGACTGCAGACAGGGGCCTCTGTGTGAAGGGGAGGGCGATCCGGAGCATTTCTGAGCTGGTCAGATTTCTTCTCCGAATTCTGCTGAAGTTGTGTTACTGGTGTCTGGCTGAATTCCACATCTCTGAAGGGACCTGCCAGGTATGTCCTGATGCTCATATGGAGAGCACTGGTGTCGCTAGCGAACCGGCTCCTCTCTAACAGCCTTAAAGAGGTGTTTGCTGGAGCCTGCTGCCCAGTGGAAAGCTGGGCGCCTGGCCAGCGAGGCTTTCTTTAGAAAGGGAGTACAGTGCAGGCCTGCGGCCGCTTCCTGGAGTTTCCCCTGCCAGGGGCCTGCAGTGGGCTCCGCGGGGTGGGTTCACAAGACAGAAGGCCCAACGAGTCAGGATTTGCCTGTGAGTCACCGCAGAGGAGTGCGGGGTTGGGAAGGGGCTGAGGATAGTTTGCAGGGAGAAATCCAGAAAGGTGGGAAGGCCTTTTCGGGCCCCATCTTTGAGGGAGTTTTTCCCGCTTTGAGATTTCTGAGAGATGCTGTCCGTGTGACGTGGGTTCCTCTGCCTGGCATGAGGGCTGGTGTTTCTAGCTGGTGGAAGTTTTTCTTCTCTTCAGGAATTTGTGAGCAGTCTCCACCCAGCAAGTTGAGAATTGTTTCCAGGAGAAGAAACGGCATTTACCTGGCAGCCTCTGGAAGCTAGTTAACTGTTTGTGTGATGTACTGAGCGGGGATTTTGTTAGGAAAACTGAAGCACATACTCCTGCTGTGCGGATGGACTCATTCGAAAGTTTCGTGCTTCTTGCACTACCTTAGAGTCTAGAGAAAACCCCTCCCGAGGTCTTGTTTCCTGCAGAAAGCAGTGCCTGCGGCTACAGTAAATGACTCTGTGATGATGTGGGGCCTGTAATTAGTCTGTGTCAATATCCTGTTGTGAGTCGCTCTCTGGGCAGGTTTCTCCTAGGTTGCTCAGGTTTCTCCTAGGTTGCTCGTCTGCAGAGTGCACTGAGACTCCGGGTGCCTGTTGCGGGGCAGTCCTCCAGTTAAGACAAAAATCTGAGACTGACACGGTTTTTCTGGCTGCTTTGTTACCCCTTGGCATTGTCTTTGTACTAAAAGTTTGATTAACCTATTCGGTCCTGGGCTGCAGTAGTGTTTTTCAGGGCATTTAGTAGATGAAAAGTAACCTAGATGAAAAGTCTTCCCCAAGACCTTCTGTTAAGGATAGCCTGAATGGGACAAAAGAGAAAAAGCTGTAGTCTAGGATTTTACCATTTCCGGGTTATTTTTTCTTGCAGACGCCTTACTGGCAGACCTGGAATCCACCACCTCACATATCTCCAAACGACCAGTGTTTCTGACGGAGGAAACGCCTTACTCCTATCCAACTGGAAACCACACGTACCAGGAGATTGCCGTGCCACCGCCAGTGCCCCCGCCACCTTCCAGTGAGGCCCTGAATGGCACTGTGATTGACCCCTTAGACCAGTGGCAACCCAGCGTATCCAGATACGCCCACCAGCAGGTAGGTGAACGGATGCGGATGGAGAGCATGCGTGCCTGTTCTGTTGGTGCAGCATCTCTCCAGGAAGTAGCCGAGGGGAGGGAGGAGCAAGATGTGAGGATGATTTTGGCTGTGAACAGAGAGGGGAAATGGAGCGAGGTGTGGGTTTGTAATAGAACTCACTAGTTGGAGCAAATGGCAGAAAAGAATTTGAAACCCATCGTCACTGTTCCAACAAAATGGTAGCATGATGAGATTAGTGTTAGTCATCTGTCTTGTGGCCTGTGGAAAGCTGACCGGAGGTTTCCAGCTCAGATCTGCAACTCATAGGCAAATCTGAAGCAAGTGGAGAGCAGTTGTTCCTCGTGCAGCTCATCTAATAGGGGCTGGCTGGCTATAAGCAGATTTTTGTGTGTGTGTGTGCTGGGCTTTGTTCTGCCCTGCCCACGTCTGGGGTTGCAATGCAGTATGTACATCCTTGTTTTGTATTCTCTGTTTCCAATGCATGTTTCATTTCCACAGCCTCAGTCCCAGTCTCCTATATACAGCTCTAGTACCAAAAGCTCCAGTGCCTCTGTTCCTAGAGACGGGCTCAGCTCTCCTCCTCCCCGTGCCAGTGAAGAGGAACACGTCTACAGGTACCTGTTGAGAGAGAAGCTTGGCTCACAACCTGAGCCTCCTGGGGCTCGAGCTGCCTTCTCTAGCACTGCTCCTGTGCGTGTTACATTGCCCTGTGTCTGTTCTGATTGTCTCTCTTGTAAGAGGCCACTGTAACTTTCATACTCACTTCAGGTGTTGCCCTGGCCCTTTGGTTTGCTCAGCTGCAGGAGAGATTAAGGATCCATCAGACAGGATCTAGGTGGCGTTGTGAAGGGTACAATCCAGAGACAAGCGACAAATCCACCCCCCTGTTAAGCAGCCCAAAAGTTCTAGAGGAGGTGGGTGGCCTTTGGGTCAGTTATCCTGGGGAACTCAGTTATCCTGGAGAACTGTTACCCGTGGCCCAGTGGAGGCAGTAATTGCAATTTTTTCAGATGGCTGCATGCAATTAGCACAAAATGGAGGTAATTACAGCCGTAAGTCCCCCTGTACAAGGGTCTGGGATGGTTTGGTTCTGGTGTGAATTGCAGTTTGTGTGCTTCGGTTGGGAAGAAGTATGCCCTCCTCAGGTTGCGTATATGGATTTCCCCCCCCCACACACACCGTCTGAAGAGAAAGATAATAACTGTCCTTATGGAATTCCATGTTTATCACCAGTGTTATAGGTGTCAGAGTCCTAAAGCCTGTTACATATTAACTTTCTGAGCATAATATGTGGTAGTGTCTGCAAGACAGAGTTCCCATTTTGAATTTGGAAAGTATCTTTTTGATAAAATAAGAACCTCTAAAGCACTGCAAGTTATTTCCTCAATTGTAAAACTAGGAGAAAATAACTTCCCTGCCATTGATGATGGGAAAACTGTCACTACAGTGTAATTGATGTAAAAATCACTGCATTGGTGAAAAGTTTTTCTGTGAAACAGTTTGCACTCGTGTGTGGTAAATGGAATCACCCATCTAGGATAAGAATGATCACAGCCAGTGTGCTATACGTGCTTGTGCACAGGTAAACTTCTTTCAAGGCTTGTGCATTTAACACAGTGGAAAATAGTTTCAAATTACTTTCTTACAAAATGATTAGAGTTCCCCAAATTACAGGTTTATGAACTCTTTTAGAGACCTTGAGTGCTGCAGGAGGCTGCCATATAACCTCCTGCTTTTGACTTTTTGTTGATAGCTTGGGGTTTGTACTTTGCCTCTTTCTCCGGTCTGTGCTGGCCCTGCAGTCGCGTGCTTCAGGGGGCAGGTTTGTGCTGCGGGGTGTGATGCCAGCAGAAACAACTCATTTTCCTGTATGCAAGCTAATGGTTGTGCCGCTCTTCTCTGCGTCTTGGGTCTGCAGATGGTTAACTCCTTGCTGCAGGGCTGTGCAGCACGCAGTCCCAAAACCTGAGGCCCTGTGTCAGTGCGGTGTCTTTGTAACTGACAACTGGGGATGCAGCTAAGCAGCGGCTGTGTTGTGGTCACTTCACAGAGCACTCATTTTTCCCCCAGAGCTAAAAGCCATCAGCTTCAAAAGAATGCAGTACGTGTGTTAACTTTGTGAACCTAATGTAAGTTTCCCCTCCATGCTTCCGCTGTGTCTTGCTGTGGAAGTTTCACGCTTCCCTTTTATCTCTAGTTTCCCGAACAAGCAGAAGTCTGCAGAGCCATCTCCCACCATGACCAGCTCCTCTCTGGGCAGCAACCTCTCAGAACTGGACAGACTTCTTCTGGAACTGAATGCTGTTCAACATAATCCCACCAGTGGCTTCCCAGCAGGTGAGGAATATCAAGGCATTTGCTATGAGTGGACAGTTTGAGTCTCAAAATAGTAGCCTACTTTAGTGTCCAGCTGAGGGAGACCCCTCCAGCCCCTCATCAAAGATTTGTTTAGTACAGACGGGGTCTGTGATTGGCTCAAAGCAGGGCCAGCTTCAAAATCAGCTCTAATTAAAGTTTCAAAGTTAATTAGGTTGCTCAGGCCCTTGCCCCTTTAGGTTCTGAGCATCCTCAAAGACGGATGTTCCACACGTTTTCTGGGCAGTTTGTTGCTCTTGCCTGTGATTAACATGTATGTGTGGACCCTAGGGGTCTGAATAACTCTCTTCTGCTCCCCCTTCAGAAGAAGCCAGCAGAAGCCCATCGCTGCCCAGCGTGACTGGACCTCACTATGTCATCCCAGAGAGCAGCAGCTCTGCGGGAGGGAAGGCTGCACCCCCCACCAAAGAAAAACCAAAGCGGAATGGCGCACGTGGGATCGAAGATGTGCGTCCCAGTGTGGAGAGCCTGCTGGATGAGCTGGAGAGCTCTGTGCCAAGCCCAGTGTGAGTAGTGTTTTGGTGGTGGCTGGCTTGGCTGGGGTGGGACAGGCTCTTGTGGGAACAGTGACCGTAGTCTGGGGGCAGAAGTTGCGGGAGAGTGACGGACAGAAGATGGGCTCTGTGTAAAGGGTTGGAAATCAAGCAGGTGTGTGAAGATGCTGGTGCTTTTTTTAATCTACTCGTGGATGAAAAAATACTTAAGTCATGTTATAAGAGGTGGATTGTTCAAACTCAGATTTATAGCTGATCACAAATACCCCGCTGCCTGACGAGCTGAATGTTTGGTCACCACCCATTCCTTAATGGATGGGGTGTGTGTGTACACACTCGTGTTGGACTTGGCAGCGTGACAGGGTCTGCGTGTGTTGTGCAAGCTGGGTCTGGGGGGCTGGCTGTGGTGGGCAGTGCCGACAAAACTCTGCATGCTGCGCTTGCCTGGGCAGAGCGCTGGGACTGTCAGTCTGGGAGTGCTCTCCCAGGGTTAAACACACTTTCCCCCCCCCCCCCCCCTTTGTCTTGTCAGCCCTGCGATCACTGTGAGCCAAGGTGAGGTGAGCAGCCCCCAGCGGGTGACTGCCAGTCAGCAGCAGACCCGTATATCTGCTTCCTCAGCTACACGAGAACTGGATGAGCTGATGGCCTCTCTCTCCGACTTTAAGGTACCCTGTCACGGCAACTTAATACTTCATCTTGTCCCTCCCCACCCCCCCTTTGTCTTGTCAGCCCTGCGATCACTGTGAGCCAAGGTGAGGTGAGCAGCCCCCAGCGGGTGACTGCCAGTCAGCAGCAGACCCGTATATCTGCTTCCTCAGCTACACGAGAACTGGATGAGCTGATGGCCTCTCTCTCCGACTTTAAGGTACCCTGTCACGGCAACTTAATACTTCATCTTGTCCCTCCCCACCCCCAGACTCTCTTGCTGTTAGCCACATCTCCCAACCTTATTTGGTCTCCAGAATGCTCCCTTTACCTCCCAGACTTGCTCGGAGAAGCCTGCTGTGGGTGGTATCTGTGCTTTCTGAGTGCTGCTGTAGGTGTTCTTGACTGCTGTAAATTCTCATGGCTGGCAGGGTAAGGCGGTTCTGGGGTCTGTTTTTCCTTTGGTTCTGCAGTCTGTCTGTGTGCCAGAGATAATGAGCTTGGTACAGGGTGAGTTATTGTGCTCTGCTGCAACTTAACAAGAAGTAGGGGAGCATGGAACACTAGTCTGCTTACTGAGAGAGAGCAGGCGCTTCTGTTCTGGGGGATGGCTCTCCTCTATGGAGTCTATTTTTACCCTGATGTGCTTTTCCTGAGGAGGATCTTCTGGGCATGTGGTATGAGCACTGAAGCCTTTGCATCAGAGAACTGGAGACTTCAAAGGCTTCCGTCTTAAAACTGTGTGTCTTATTCACCTCAAAATGGGATTAAAGTTGGAGCTTTCTGTGGAGGCAGAGGATGGCAAATACTATTCAGAATCTTGTTTGGGAGTCAAACTATTGTATTGGAAAAGAACTGCTACTTCAGTTGCAAGTAGCACGTAGAAATCCCATAGTAAACAGGGTAAGCTCGGGAGTAACTTGCCCATGGTCACCTTGATACGTGGAGCACTTGGCATACGGACTTGGATAACTTGGTCTTTGTCACCTAGGTGTGTTATCGTTGTTGCACTAGGTGATTAACTGTGGACCTTATTTTAATGAGACTTCATTTGCCCATAATCATAGCCAAATGAAAAATACTTTCTCTTCTTCCTTTCTTCTTCCAGCTGGTATGCTTGGAGCCTTACTGAATTAGTCACTTGAATCTGTTCTGAGAGGTGGAGAAAGCAAATATCTAACAAAATACCATTGTTGTCATTGTTGGTTTGCCTTTCTTGCACACAGGTGCAAGTCCACTTTCAAAATCCTACGGAAGCCCCTAACTCCCTGGCTTTTCCTCATGGAAGATTCTGCTGAGCTCTGTTTCTTGTCTGTGCTGAACTCCATCTCCTCCTACCGTGACTTTAGGTGGGGCAGCCAGAGTGGGGGGGTGTTTTGTGAGGAGAGGCAGAGAGGCCATTCAGGGACAGCTTTGCTGTTCTCTCTGTGCCACCATTCCTGTGAGAGCTTTTGGTGTTTGCCGCGGGTTTCACGGAGAACATTACGATACCCCGAGTTTTGACCAAGCGCATGAGTTGAGAACGCAGCGGTGAGCGCGCGCGCTCTGCGGGACTTCGCGTGCCTGTGTGCTCGATGGAATTGGGTTCAGTCTGCCGTTTCTGGCCCACGTACTTTGTGAGACTCTGGGAGTTACTCACTGTTTTCTCTGGACTTACTGTAGTGTGTGTTTAGTCAACTGCAAATATTGACACCTTAGTGTTGCCTTTTTTCCCTCCATATGAGGTCCTAGGGCAGATGCAGGGGCATCCCTAAGTGTCTGTTCAGGCTGGTTGAAAAACTGCGCTGTCGTAAAGCTGGAGAAGGGTTCCCACCTGCGCTGCTGACATACTGTGCCTCGCTCCTTCTGTGTGCAGTGCGAGCATGAGTGCCCTGGCCTCTTGCCCCCGCTGCTTTTATCAGGAGAGAAGCTCGGGTGTGGTTGCTGCCACCAGCCTTTGCTCCTAGGTGAGCTCTTGGCAACTGAGAGTGATCTCACCCAGCACAGGTTTTCCTTGCCACGTACAAGGACGGGACCTGCATGACAGAGACAAGCTGCTTTCTGTAATACCGCCGGCTCTCCTGGCTCAGTTTCTGAGGAGCTGGGAGAGCAAACTGAGATGCAGCAAGACTCTGACTTGGGCTTTAGAAACGCAGCACTAGTATTTCTGTGGGGCATTCGGGGCATTCAACTCATCTCTGTCTAAATGCTCTTCCTGAAGCACAAAGAACATGGTTTCTGTGATCGTTTTGCTTTCGTTAATATTGTCACTGGCTCTTTTTAACAGTTATTTTCTTCCTTCCTGTCCCCCCGGTTGCTTCATTTTCCCTTCAATCCCTGTTTGGTTTTACCCCCTCTGTGCCGACTAGCGGTGTTAGCTTGTCTGCACAAACAGATTTCTAGTCTGTACCAGTGGCAGGATGGGAGAGAAATGGAATCTTTGCAGCGGTGTTTTTGAGTGCAGACCTGTGTGTGTTGTCAGAAACAGGACACGAAGTGTGGTGTGTAACTAGTTGGGGTCGGTAGTTGGTACAACTAGAAGCTGAGGTGGATGGAGATGAGGGGGAATGGAGGCGCTGATGTTTAATTTCCCTCATACCCCAGAGTAAAAGGTGCCGTTACAGACTGCTGCATTACCCCATTATCGTCCTTGGCTCGCTTTAATGAGTTGCTCATTCTTTTCACGTACAGAACCCATTTGATTTTGGTTATCAGCTCATCAGTCAGCGGGCACTGAGATTACTTAATGCACTTATTTTTTCAACCTCTGCCATTTCTGTGTAACACGATGCCTGCTTACTGCATAGCTAGATGCTTAGAGTTAACTGTTCTATTACTGTTGAGTGTTCAACCACTGCTCCTGTTTTAGAGCTAGCATGTTTTTAATACACTGGAAATATTTGCTTTTGAGCAAAATGATAGTGCTGCCTCAAAAATGACTGACTTCATTTTAGGAAGTCCGGAATAAACCCAGGTTACTTTTACAGGTGCATTCAGCATAGGCAGAATACAGGGGGAAGGCAAATTCCCTCATTTTCACTGCTGAATGTACTCACTAGTCCTTTTCCTCTCTGCCGTGACTGTGGGCCTTGCTGTGCTACTCGAGGGCAGGAGCAATCTGTGATGAATTGTGGTCCCCTAGTGCTCTTTTCTTGGAGAGCGATCTCCCTGTAGCGCTACAGGGGGTGCGTGTGTGTGCCAGCTTCTGGCCCCTTGGCCTGGTATCGGCTTAGGTCAGCTGAAGGCATATGTGTCTCCCATCTACTGGCAGATTTTGTGCGTGTTCTGGTTAATTTTATCCTGTTATTCACGCTAACTATCCCAGAAAGGTAAGTAACAATTGAGATACCATGTCTGTGCTTAGAAGTTACATGTCCTGCTGCCTTGGAGCACGAGCATCTGTCTTCTGGAGGCTTCTTTGGGAAATGGGACTAAGAATCAGAGCAGGTCTTGACAGCTCTTGGATTTTGAAATCCTTTGTGGATATGTTTTTAAAACGGGGAGGGCTTGGCATTGGTCTTAGCTTGGACCTGCTGTGTGAACTTGTTTAAGCCACTGTTCTAATTTTCCCCCTTTAAGAAAAAGGAGTAATGCCAGTTTGTTGCCAAGAGCTCAGCTTGGGAACCACTGAAAACGGGGAACAGAGGACTTGGTTTTCAAAAGACTCTGTAAGTCAAGGAGAATCAGAAACTGTGTATCAGTTGCTCTTGTTAGATTGTATTTTGGATCAAATAGTAATACTGATCTTATTACAAAGTAACTGTGGGTCTTTGGCCTAAGGGGAAGAGCCTCATCTGGCCGCCTCAGCAACGCTTACAAGGGCACGGAGTGACTGACGGGTCATATAGATTCAGAGTGTGTCCCGTCCAAGGTGAGCTTAGCAATGTGAATAGGACAAAGCCCCTGTCATCTGTTCTTGCTGTGAATGCCCCGAAGCTTTGTTTGCATTGCCATGGGCTCAGCCAACTGGAGCGTTTTATGAGTGTATCAAGAAGAAAACGTCATGCTTTTTTCTATTCGTTGATTGCTTTTTTCCAGCTTTGAAAAGTAGAATTTACATGTCTGACTGTGAGTCAGTCGGCGTGACCCTTACTCACGCTCTGGACGTTCCGGGGTTTGTGGCTGGCTGCCCGGCGGTGCTGCGTGTCCCCTCGCAGCTGCAGGTGAACACGTGAGCTGTCACTTAAAAGGAGGGCATAGGAAAAGGATCTCGATGGCTGTGGAACTTCATCTCCTGCAATGTCATGTGAAGATCAGCACAATGTCATACTGGTTCTGCTCTTTGATATCTCATTTTCCTTCCTTACTCTTGGAAGTAAGGCTTTGGATCAACATGGCTCTTTGATTTGGAGGTCATGATTACTATAATGCTTAACTCCTTGCTTTTTTCCTTCTCCTTACCTCTGTCTTTTTCTCTCCTTATTCCTTCTGTCTTTTTTGCAGACTAGTTCCACTGTGTCTCTGATTTCTGAACCCTCCCTAGAACCGGTTCCCAGTTCAGCAGACGCAGACTCCAGCAACACTCCTTACAGCTTAACAGTGCTATCCCGTTCCAAACACCCTTGTGCAAGTCACAGTGGGGACTCGGCAGTGCCAACATCTGCCCCCTCAGCAGTCCTCTGCATTGAGGAAGGCAGTAACACTGCAGTCCTGCCTACTGCAGGGCATTCTGCCGCTGCTCCACGTGTGCCCTGTTTGCCACAAATGGTCCCTGTGCCCCCACCACGAACCTCTTCTGGTTCTGCTACTCGTGGGGAGCAGATGAACTCTGCGAGCTTGGTTCGGTTGAGCAGAAAGCCTGACTCCTCTAGAAATGCTTTCCAGGCTGTGCCGGCTTCCAGTGTGGAGCTTCTGTGTAGATCTGCTAACGTGGAGGCACAAGGCCTAGAGAACGATTTGGCGAAAGAGGCTGAGAAGGAGCAGAGAACTGACCCCAACATCTCAGGTGTACCAATTTCAAACATGTTAAATGATCAAGGGAAGGGACAGATACCTAAAGAGCTGGATCAGCAGGGAGCATTCAGGGACAATTCAGCCCCTC